AGTACGTAAACAGATGTTGTATATGGAAAAATTAAAATGAAGGTGTTAATTTTATTTTAAAGATTTGCAGCTACTGGGACTGATTTAAATCAGAAAAGCATAGAAGAGTGAGTTGTTTCTCTGAATCACTAGTGTGTTCAAATCAGAGAGGAATTGGGGCGGGTTGTTTCGATAAAATACTAATTGCAAACAAAGTAATTATCTTTTACAAAATAAGTTAATAAAAAATATATGATCATAAAAAATGTCTTTTACAAAATAAAATCATGGATCCATCCCTGTAACCCAACTAACAATCAGGAAAGCTTCAAATGGCTCAAGATCAGCAGCTAAATCAAGTATAAGAAATACAGCTAAGGAATCCCAAACAAGTCCTTGTTTATATATCAATCTACTTGTAAACCAGACAAGTTCCACTAATTAAACAAATCTCATGTGGAGATGAAGTCCCTTAAGTACAAAACTTGATAAGAGTTTGACTCCAATTAACCCAACAAAAGTTGGACCAGTGGCTTAACATAAACCAGAAGCAGAAAAGCTCTCCTTGCAACTTGGCTAGTAGCATTACACTGACTAAAAAATACAAATTGCAAACAGAATATTGCTAATAACTCTGATAGTCGACTAAATGCAGCGTTTATCATCAATCTATAACAAGAAACTCTTGCTCTCCTAGTACATTGCAGAAAGCAAAAGGCCAAAGGTTCATGATTACAATTGGTACTATCAACCTTGATTTTCGTTTTAGGTAGGGATGCATAATCAACTGGGGGGGAGAAACTAGATGAAAACAAAGACAAGAAATGGTATAACATTTTCTCAACAGCTCTGCCAATGGCAAATACTGTCAACATCAACCCCGTATGCTAATCCTCAAAAGCTCAAATAGCTTTTTCAAACAGAAGCAATTCACACATATTTATTAACTGGGAAGTAATAAGAAAATTAAACTATACCAACTTCCGTAGATCAAAGGATGAAAACAATAAGAAGGCCAAAATAATTATTAACTGGGAAATTTTTTCTACTGGAATGACAAAAAAAATTAAGACATCTTAACATCCATGGCGTCAAGAAAATCTAGCGTCCAACCCCAACAGGTATGAAACACTGAATAGAAGCTATACCAACTTCCATTAGAGAATATAAACTACAAAAACTACAAATTAAGCTTTATGTAAAATCAACGTAGCGTCTCAAGAACAATAAAACGTGCAGAACACATTGCAGCAATTAGTCTTCTCCTCCTTGAAAGGAACCCAATAGAAGAGAACATTGAAATATATATACAGTCACCTACCTACTAATTAATCAACAACCCTACCACATTTACAGAGTCCCATATACTCATCTTCTTCCCCTTCAAATTTAGGTAATACATGGCATCTTACTCTCTATATAGAAGAAATCCATGAACAAGGAGAAAGAAATCAGCTAAGGTTAACGCTTACTTTAACGAACCCGGCATCGTTTCGCTCCACCCTCCAACTTCCCCGAACCAGTAGAGGACGAAACGCCGACCATGACATCTTCACACCAAACAACAAGCACCCTCCTCCTCCCCTTCCATCCTCCGTACCTGTACCCAAGCAAGGACATCACCCTCACATCGAACCCAACTCTCCCACGCGCCTTCTCCTTGTTGATGGAATCGGTCACCTTCCCGTCAACGTAAGTATTCACCACGGACAAGCTGGCATTAAGCACGGTCTGGTCCTTGGTCCCCTGATTGAAGGGAGAGATTCGGGTCTGGGCGAGGGAGTCGGAGTCGTAGAAGATGGAGCAAAAGACTTCCTCATAGGAGAGAGACATCTTCTTGTTAGGATTAGTGACCTGAAACTGGACTTCCCAATTTCCAGTGAGGCGGTTATTGGAAGAGTTGAAGTTGGAGAGAGAGAGTGAGTTGAGGTAGAAGTTTGGGAGACTAGGGCGGAGAACAAGGACTAGAATGAGGAAAATGGTGCCGAAAATGAGGCCAAGAGCGATGAGGAAGAGAAGAATACGACGGAAGAGGATGGCTCGTGGGTTGGGAGGCGGTGGAGCGTTGTAAGGATAGTAAGAGTAAGAGTAGGTGGTTCCCGGCGGCGGAGGTGGGTAGCCATTCCCGGTTCCGGCGGGTTGGCCGGGGTAAGGGTAGCCGGTGGCGGGTGTTGAAGGGTTTTGCATGATTGAATTTGAGGGATTTGATCTGAGCTTCAGCGGGGTTTAGGAATTTACTGTGCGTGCTTGAAAGGAAAAAGATAAAGACAAGAAAGATATAAGAAGAAAGGAATCACGAAATATTATCACCTTCTTTCTTCTTTTACTCTTCCTCTAAGCCAAACTAAAATAAATAAATAAAATCATATATATATTACATATATATATATATTTTTTTTTACAAAGAGATACAAATATAAAAACTTTTCATACTCGGGATCAAGAGATACTCGTAACATCATTCGTAAAAATCAGAGATCACCAGACATCCGAACATATTGATAAAGACTCAATTTGAAGAAAAAACAAACATTTATCGACCAATTCGTATATTTATTCTCTTCACGATAAATATGTTGTATACAAACATACGAATCATACCAAAATAAATTCTTGATTTCGCGAACAAAGTCAGCATGCGCAATTGAAAATTTATAAAATATATTTTTATATAGTTTTATTTAAGTTAAGAAATTAATTAAACTATTTTATGAAACCAAACTAAATATGCATGCAAAACAATAAATTATATTTTTAATCTTCTCTCGTTCAATTAATTTTAGGAAACCATAATGTTTTGGAAAAGGAAACAAGATCCTCCCGGTATATATATTATACATTTCTTTTCCTTTTTAATGGTTTGTAATAAAACAAACCCAATTAAACCCTCATTACCTATATATAGGCTTACATACATTATTCAAGAAATTATAACTCTTCTTCTTTGAATAGAGTATTCATCCGCCGATGCCGAACTCCGACGAGAGCAGCAGCTCCGGCGAGAGCAACAGATCAGTACCATCATGTCGTCTTCTCATATATCTCTTTGTAGCAATCTTCGCGACCTCGGCAATCATATTAACATTAATCATAATCTTAATCCCGCATCGTATAAAACTCCATGTCACCTCCCTCACTCTATCTTCCTTCTCCGCCTCGGAATCCCAACTCATCGGCGGCACTTGGAACGTCGTCTTCTCTATCACCAACCCAGATAAGAAGACGAGGGTTGCCTTCGATGCCCTCCAAGTTTCAGTCTTTTACAGAGACTGCCTCGTGGGTGGCGGGAACATTCAGCCTTTCTGCGAGGGGAAGAAGGAAATGAGGTCGGTGAACGCCACGGTGGTGGTTGCCGCGCCGGAGAATTTGCTGCAGTGGTTGCTGTATTACTTGTCGTAAGAGGTGAAGGACGGAGCTGTAGTTTTTGACGTGAAGGTTGAATGCACGACGACGATTGACCCTAGAAGTGATGGGCAGAAAAGGGGGTGGGTTAGGGCTTCGTGCGAGTACCTGAAGGTCGATTTTCCGGCAAATTCGACGGTCGGAACCATGGCCGGCGAGCCAAGGAAGTGTAGTGTTAAACAGGGAGAAAGTTAGGGAGGTATACAGCATCGCATGCATGAATGCATGCATGCAGCAATAGTTTTTTCTTCTTCAAATTTTGAGTGTGAAATTTCCTTTTTTTTTTTTCCCAATTAAATATTGAATTAGATATATACATACATGTTCATCATCTATATATTATTATATATATGTAAGAATATTAACTTAAATATTACTAATTATAAATCAACAAATAACAAATAATGTTATTTATTTTTTATTATTAAAAAATATTGAATCAAATGGACAAACACGAAAATATCAGATGTGTGCCGGCTTATAGCAACATAAATACTGAATTCTTATAGAACCATGGCAAGGCTCTGGCAAAAATACACGACAAACTCTTCGACTGTAAGTATGCGAATGAGTACTCATTTTTTTTTTCTTTTAATGTTCATAAGGACAAGTATGAATTGGATTAAATAATTTCATTTTAAGAAAAAAGAAAAAAAAACAAATAAAATACAGATCCGTGAAGCCGGTAACTAACCTATCTTGGAGTTGTTCAGCTTCAGTCGAACATGCTCGGAAGGGGTCTCACCGCCATGAACGCGTCCACCATCTGAACAACCATAAAAGGAACATCTCGATCTACTTCATGTTTTGGTATAATGAATTAAGTTGATATTTAATCTCACTTTTTTTTTATCAGGTGCCATGCTATTTCCCCAATGTTCAAACCCTAAAAATTACAGACTTCGATGGGCTGATCATCTTTACTTAGACATTATTCCACACTAAGTGAAATATGCGCATTGATCAAAATCTGTGATTTATGCCATCTAACAAAAGGCTTACCTCATCACTGACTGCAGCCCGAGCCCTGCCGGTGCCTTTCCACCATTTCAGTTAACACTTCAGTAAGATGCTTCTTCACCTCGACCTGTAAGCATTCGTCCGGAGCCCATATTCCTATACACAATCCATCCATCATTTTTGGTGTG